GATTTCCAAAAACCAAGAAGACTGGGATTGCAAGCTGCCCTTGTTCCTGCTTGCTTACTGTAGTGCCGTCCACGAAAGCACCGGCTATTCTTCATCACAGATGCTCTTCGGTCGCAATCTCCGTCTGCCAAGTGACCTGCTCTTCGGCTTCCCTCCAGATGTATGTTCCTCTCCTGATGAGTACGTGCAAGACCTCCAGTCTGGTTGGAAACAGTACACAACTTTGCTTGAGAGCAAATCAACATCTCGACAGACAGGATAAAGAAGAGATACAACGCAAGAGCCACCGAACATCAATTCCAGGAAAACGACAAGGTTTGGCTGTGGAATCCGTTTCTCCCAAACTGCATTGGGAGGGTCCCTATACAGTCCTCAACAGATTGAACGACGTTGTGGTACAGATCTGTAAATCCCACAATTCCAAACCCTAGGTCGTTCATTATGACAACTTAGCCTCATACTATGGCCATAGTACTTAGTGCTTCTCATTCTTAGGGGCACCCATAATTCTTGTGCATGAGTTTTCTTACTAGTTTCTGTATAAAGTGTGTATGCAATGTAAATGTTTGTTTCTTTAGTTATGTTATCTGTATGTTTTAAAACCTTTTGACTGTATCGAATTTGGCTTCTGACCAAGGTTTATACTGTCAGGGATGTGCAGTCCTTGGAAGGAGGCAGTGTCACGAAATGTACAGGCGCGGTAAGATGGCTTCCCCGCAAAGCAGTTTTAGGGTTGCCATAAAAGGGCAAGGGAAAGCAGGGTTGCCACATTTGGCGAGAAATTGACCATTTGGCGACAAAATTGGCGATATGCCATGGACGGATGGAGAAGCTTCTGGAATGAATTCTTACCAGTTTAGTCCAGAATTTTTCGAACACATATAAATCTATTTGTCGAAATCTATTATAAGCCTATTATATCGAAAGCTATATAAACCCTGCTGGTCTGCAGTCAGTGTGAGTATATCATCAATCTCGAGCTGAGACTTCAAGCATGTTGCATGCACATTGGTAAGCTAAATTTTTGTTTGGATACTAACCCTGTTCCATAGGCGGTTAGTGATTGTATTTTGATAGCAGCTTTGGTATCTTGGGATATACAAATGTCCTTATTTAGGACTCCTCAAGATAGTTCAGACGATGAAGAATTTAGTGAGCGAGAATTACAGAGTTCTTTGAACTCTACTAGGACTTATTCCCTTAGGAAAGAAGATTTCATTCTGTTTTCTAAGGAAAAGAGAAGGGAAGCAAAGAAAGCCAAAACAGTGGCGGACAAAGTGCAGAAAACCAAATCGGAAGAACAGTTAGAACAACTAATAAACCGAACAACAGATAAGGACCGACTCAAGCTTTTTTAATATATGATCAAAGAAATGGGACCTGATGAAGTGGTTGCTGCATTAATAAAATGCAAATATCTGTATGAAGGAGTAGTTATTAAGAGTGCCTGCATAGAAGAAAAGACTACCAATGGAAAAACGGCAGAACAGGTAGAAAGTGAAGTACCATGAATTTCACCTAAAAAGACAGCAAAAAATTCCTGATAAGCCAGAACCGATGGAAATTACGAACAGTAACAGATACCAGTCGCTTGAAAAGGTAAATGAGGAGGAACCAGAAGGAAGAGCGCCCCAGCAGGAGACGCCACCACCAATTGTACTCCAAAGTGATGCAACTGATTGGCTGAAAGTCGAGGAAATACTGCAACAAGTTAGCAAGGAGGAATTCCTAGCAGATACGAAAGGAAAGTCAATCTTCGTTAAATTGAAGAATGTGGATGATTATAGGAGGGCTACAAAACTGCTGAAAGAAAAAAAGGAACATACCATTCCACACCTTCCAGCTGAATAAGGAGAAGCCATTGAAAGTTATACTGAAGAACATCCCGGATAACATAACTGAAGAAGCTATATTCCAGGACTTGGAGAAAGTTCCCAATATTGAAGGTAAAACAGTTCCAGGGAAGTAGAAAGAATAATTCAGAAAAATTGCCCATCTTCCTGCTGGAGCTTGAGAAAAAGAAGTCTGGGTATGCCATACATAACCTAAACTGTATGTTTAGTGTTAACATCAGAATAGAAAAGTATGCACCGAAAAAGAGACCTATTCAATGTTATTGGTGTCAAGAACGGGGACACACAGAGCAACTATGCACCAATGCAGAGAGGTGCTGCAAATGTGGGAAGAACCACAGAAGTAATCAATGTGACTTGAAAGCATACGCAGATCCAACGTGCATTTTTTGCAAAGAAAAACACGTTTATAGTTATCGTGGCTGTGCAGAGTATAAAAAGAATTTGAACGAAGGATCCCGAGGAGGATGATTCCACCGCCTAAAAAAGCTGACTTTCAAAATCTTATTCAAGCTGATGTTGACAGGAACCAGGAAAACCAAGTCGCTGTACAGCGAGAAATTGTAGAAGAAGCTGAAACCTCCCCCAGCAGAAGCAAAAGAAGCTCTGGAATGGATAACTGACCAGAAAATTAATAATTTCCTCAGAACCATCATTTCACAGATAGAAAACATAAGATTGGCAATGAAGACAGTAGGAAAATTAACAGCAGGCTTCCAAGCTGTAATGACGTTGATGAAGTTAGCGGAATCAGAGGATTAATCTACTACTGAAGAAATTTAAGTCACTATGATTGAGGACTTTCAAGACTTTTTGATCTCATGCCGTCGAACAGCTATTACACTTGACTTTGCCTTAGGCAGACTCAACTGCATAGTACGCACATCAAAAGTATCACAGTGTGATTGACTACTCTGGATAAACTCTCGCCTCGAATGGAGGCATTAATGACTGCATACTTTGGCATTTTAGTTTTTCGCCTTCGGGTTGTGGGCGTTATGTCCCATTAGTTTCTCATTACCGTGATCGGCCGTTCTAATGTGGCAACTTAGAATGCACAGGTAAAAACTCCTCGTAGTTGTACACCTCTGTGAAAAAGACATAAGTGCTGTAAGTCAGTGTGAGTGTGCCTTGTCTAGCGAGCTGATAGTTCATCGAATGTCTGGAAGTCTAGCACCAAGTTGGTCGTCAATTGCATCGAAGAGTCTCTAAGAGTATCGCGGTTAGTGCATCGTCGAGACAGTGTGTTGAGGTCCGGGAACGACTGAACCGAAGAGTCGGGAGCTTTTATTGAAATTCTTTACTGAAAGTTAAGAACTTAGAAAATAGAAATGAAATTTTCTATGCTAGAGAAACTGGATTGGCTAATTCAGTCTTCCAGTCTAAGTATCATTAACTATGTATAGGATAATTACAACCATTTATAGGATTCAGCTGGGTTACATTGGCTCAATACTGTTTCCTAAAATATTTTTAATTCGACAAACCAGTTGTTAAAGTGAATGGTATCAGCTATTTAGGCAATTTGTTGCTATTCAGTTATATATATATACGTATCAAGTCTTAGGCTTTTTAATTTACTTTTAATTTATTTTGAATATATATAGGCAAGAAATCGGTTCCTAAAATTCTTGCATTTTGCCATCTATTGCAATCCTTAACGTATCAGCTAATACCAAATTTATAATTGCTTTAAAGAATAACAGTTTTTCTGCTTTTTGATCTGAATGGAATCTTTCTAAGTGTAAAATATCATGGTAAAAATTCATTACAGGTGCTCCTTCACAAAAATTGGCAATTTTTGGCAGTACATGGATACTGAGATTGTGCAATTCTTCGACCTTGTTATTTTGGCTTTGTGTGGCAGCGATTTTTGTTCCGCTACACAAAGGACAAAATAACAAGTCAAAGAATTGCATAAACTTGGTATCTATGTATACATCAACCTATTTTCACTTTAAAAAAAAATTGGAGAATTGTGCACTCCCTTGACTTTATCCATGTACACATCAACCTATTTTCACTTAGAAAGACATCAGAGTATTGCATAAACTTGGCACTGCACACTCCCTTGACTTTCTTCATGTACACTTCAATCTATTTTCTCTTAAAAAGTCAATGGAGCACCTAATTCTACAGTAGAGCCAAACAAAAAATATATCTCAATAAACTACATTTTAAATCAAACTATAAGATAACATAAAAACGGAAATTCATCTTATGCATCTAAGCACTTTCTGCGTCTTGAGTATGGCACACAAAATTCCTTACAGTATCTAAAAACTTCCTAAAATTATCTCAACTAGAATCTGTATATCAGCGTCACCACATAAATTCACAAATATAAGAGTAAAAAATATCCTCCGTAGTGTCGGTGTCTTTCGACGTTCAACCATAGGCATTACCTTCCTACAAACAGGACACTTATAAATTGGGTACTAAGTAAACCTTCATTTACACACCAGTCAATGAATGCTGTTTTCCCCCTTTCGTTCCAATTCATACAAAAACTTCAAATTTATCTTACCACATTCAGCCATTCTATCGTCTAAACCACAAAATAAGCAACGTACTTCATAACCAACACACACCACAAGCCTTACAAATCTTTTTTCATCATTCAAAATTTACTGCAATCATGCAATTGATTATGTCATAATAGGGTTTCCATAACATTCAACTACTCAGGTTACCATAAATGAAACAACAACTTGGCGATAATACAAGGGACACCCTTCAATCTACTCTAACTAATATTGCTGTTAAGTCTACATCAACATCACTGTAAGAAGAGGCTTTATTACTTTTAATTTCATTCTGAACAATGTATTAAGAACAAATTTGTTTTAGGCTTATTTCCTAATGAAAGATAATTTTTATGAGAAATATCTTTACATTGCTTTGAAAAACTAAAAGAGTAGTTTATTTGTTGTTGTTTTTTTTATGTAGATTACTACATAAACTGATTTACATGATGTTTGATTAAGTTTCTTGCATTAATTTGAATAATCAATAAAACTAAATTTTACTGTATAGAAAAATTATTAGTAATTGTAATATTCAGTTTTTATAAAATTAAAATTTCTCTTATTCACTATTTTCATTTTATGAATTAATACTTATTAATATTTTTTCCTCTGAATATAGACATTTTGTGTCATAACGAAAAGTTGGGGTCAGACATATATACATCGATATAATCGATTACCATCTCTTCATATGTTTCATCCATATGATGCATTCGAAGATCAGCTATTTCATTGACAACTCATATGTTCCTTAAGGTTTTTAAATTATTATTATTATTATTATTATTTTTCTTCATTTAGCAAATACTTTCACTGAAATATATAGTGTATCAAATTAGTATGTAATTGACTGAAACTTAAGGGAAAAAAAAAAGCTTAAGAATAATCGATTTTGGTGTTAAATTTAAAATAAGGCCTGCGGGGGGGGGGGGACTTATATCACCTTAGATTTAGAATAACACTCTTTTTGAAGCAAATTTATATAGGCTTCTTCAAAAGCTGAAAATATTTTACAAATGTGGAAGGGAAAAATAACCATATTGGAGGGCAATTTGGAAACTAACCTCAGTTGTGATATGGCACTAGTAGTAGTGGGCAGAATGCAACCATTGTTTACATCAAGCAATCTGTGATTCAGTAAACTTTCTGCTATCCTAGTGAGAGTGTCATGCTGCTGTGCATATGCTGGTTATAATGTCACAAAATGTGCTCTGCTATTGAAAGAGGAGTAAATTTCTTTGATCAAAAATCTGTCAGTAGCAGACATTCATTCTGAATTGTGTCTCCTCTATACAGACCAAATGTTACCAGTGAAAGTGTAGTTCAGCAGTGAGTGAGATTTTTTCCAAGGAAGACCAAACATTCACGATTATCTTGTCAAACAACATCCCTCTACAGCCTGGATTTAACTTCTGATTACTATATCGTCTCTGCAATGAAGAAGTTGCTTTTAGGGCATAGCACTTCACTGATGATGAGAAACTTCAAACTGCTGTAACAAGTTATTTGAAGTCGCAGGTGGCTGTGTTTTATGCAGAAAGAATTAGTAAGTTGTTAAAATGCTATGAAAGTATTTGAATAAACTTGATGACTATGTTGACAAACAGAGAACAGCTGTACCTTTGAGATGTAAATTAAGAATTTGTTGAATCTATGTGGTTTTTTTATTTACAATGAAACAAAGGTTAGTTTCCAAATTGCCCTCATATATGATTACCCTTAAAGAAATCTCAGATCTTCAAAATTTAGGTATTCATTTATGCCAATGTAAGATTGATGTTTTGCCTAACTGTAATCTTTAATCAGTGTTTAAGTAAATATAATGAACAAGCTCTTTTATTGATCGCCTTGTTTTGATCTTTTGTATTCTTACACAAGATCTTCATCATATAAAATTTTCAAAATATGATAATTTCTTTTAAAACTTAATTCCTTCAATTTTGATGAAAGGTTCTTTGGTAAAAACTCTGAATATGCTGCATATCCAAAATTGCAAAGCCTGAACTTAGTTATGTTATAAATGGTAGGACCAAGCTTGTAACATTGCAATATATTATCTCATTTTTACACTACATGTGTTTACTATTTCTATTGAAAATAACAATATTTAGTTGTTTCTTACTGTATATTAACTTAAAATTTTTTATTTTAAATTTACATTTTTAACAAGTTTCGGTGTTAAAGAAAATAAGTAAACTAAGCTGCTTATTTTAAATTAACATGATAGAATAATTCAGTTCTATCATTTATTAAAATGATAAACAACAAGTCTCGCGTACTTGTATTCTAGATAGCTTCAATATTTTCAAAGATTCTTAAGCTTCGACATTAACACAACTAAGATTTTTTTAAATTTAAATTTACATTGTATAATGTCTTTAATTCTACAGTTTTACAAATGGTTTTATTACTACACAATGTCACACTGCCATGTATTCTATTAAGCAGACAATAGCAATTATATTATAAAAAAATTAAGAAATGAGTTTATTAAGGAAAAAGAGTAATATTTTTTTACAATAAATGAACATCATACACAGCTTTCATTTCAATATTTCTCATATTCCTAAATTATGTTATACAGTACAAAGTCCGTAATTTAGACGTCCATTATCCGGAATGATCTATAATCCGGACCTCAAAGCCACAAACTTACGCTTGCGCATTTGATGCACGTGTCCGATACGCATGCGCGTAAAGCGTTTACACATGCACGCTTTTGATAGTGAAGAAAGTAACACAGAGGTTATTGAAAATGAAAAAAACTTTGATTGACAAGTTAGTCGGTATTCTCAACACAGAAATTACAGGACTTGAACAGTGGAACTTTGTGACCAAACAAGAAATTATGTCTGTTTATAGAATTAAAGAGAAAGTATTAGCCCAAAAAACGAAGCAACTTAAACAACTTGCATTGAAAGAAATGTTTAACAAAGTAAATAAATAAATTAAGACACAATAACACGCCGAATAAATACTAATTCAGAAGTCAAACAACAAAAATCAGCGTTATATTTACCAAATTTTCACAGGACTAGTTTCGATGGTTTTACCGAACCACCATCTTCAGCTGCAAAACCGCAAATGAATGTTTTGCAGCTGAAGATGGTGGTTCAGTAAAACCATCGAAACTAGTCCTGTGAAAATTTGGTAAATATAACGCTGATTTTTGTTGTTTGACTTCTGAAATAAATAAATATTAAGCTTTTTTTTGTTTTTTTTTTAATAAATTTTGATACCCTTTAGATCATAATTGCTCTTTATTTCATAAATGTGGTTTCATATTTTTAATTGTATAATTTCTGCATGCCATCTTATCAGATTTAAATTGATGATCTATAATCTGGAAAAACCCTTATCCGGAATCGCCGAAGTCCCGGCGAGTCCGGATTACGGACTTTGTACTGTACTCTCTTTGTGCATATTAATATTCCATACATCAATAACTGGAAAGTATCTAAATTTTGGCAATGAAAAAAATAAGTTGCAAAAATAAAAACCATAAATTTAGAATAATGCACAGTATTTCAAATAAAAATAATACCAAGTGCACTTAAAATATCAAGCACTATATTTTAAAATAATAATACAAAAGTTACTTACTGATTGCAAATTTGTGATTTTTGCGACTCTCAAAAAATCATCAGACTATTGATATTTATCGTAAACTGGGAAACATTATCAACTTACCAAGAGAAAACAATGAAACATTCAATTTAAAATATAAAAGTGGAAATTAAAAAATTAAAAATACAGTTTACAATTAATACAACCATACAAATTCAAAATACACAAACAATTTATTAAACATTGCACTTAATATATGTATACCTGATATTTCACTTGAGCCAATGATGACAAATGAATCTTGCCTGCAGTCTTTTTCTTTTGTAGAATGTATTGTCAACATCTCACTCAGAAATATCTTTTCAGAGCAAAAATCCTTTCGAATAGACTTTGTAATTCAATGCTTGGATTTGCCTCCTGTAACTCTACACATCCACTCAAAACCATCTATACAGTGCTTCACTAATCTTTCGTTTTTTACTCTTATGAAGCTGACAGGTCTTATAATGTATTTTACAGTTTGAAAATTTATGCATTAAATTGCTAAACTGTTGATTTAGCAACAATACACAGGTCAAGCAAAAGCTTTGTTAGTGATTTTGAACTACATCCACATAGTATCTGAGCTTGTAGATAGTAGCAAATTCATATAATTGTTACTTTCTAGATAATTTATATTTAATATATTTCATTTTATCCCTTCACTGAAAACTAGATATTTTGATATATGTTTAATGATCATTGTCTTTGCTAACTTAGTTAATTTGGCTGTACCAAATTCTTTACCTTTGTTATTTGAGTAAGTACTTTTTCTCAAATTTACATTTTGGTAAATCATTCTACAATTTTTGTTACTTAATTTTTGTTTTGCCTTCTAATTCTATCATATGTAAAGCTCATTTCGTAGTTACTGTAATTTTGCTGTATATTTGAAGACTAACCGAATAGATGAATTAATAATTGAAGATATACTCTATCTAATCTAACCTTTAAAAAAAAAAAAAAAAAAAAACTAGAATCGAACATTCTAGGAAAATGCTGAAATCTGTATACTTGAAAGTTACATTAATATAACATTACATAATTTATTTCTGTGCAGTATTAGAATATAAGATTTTTAATTAATTTTGTAAATTAATTGTCATAAAGAGTTAGAAAATAAGCTAGTTCTGGGATTTTTTTTCCCAGTTTATGATTTTTAGTTGATAATTAGTTAAAAATTGAAAATCTGATTTAAAAATTTGCATTTGTAATATGCTGTTCAAAAGTAGTCATTCCTGGTAAAGAATCCATTTTAAAATATAATGTGGGTCAAAGGGCAGACAAGTTTCAATTAGGTGGTGTATTTAATTATGGCAAAGCACACTAGGGCTATCTGCCTAGTTTCAATTAAGAACTTGTGTCAATGGCAGATCTTCTGTGACTTGTACAGGCAAACAAGAAAATCACAGAACACATAACACTACCTGATGCTGAAAAGTAATTGTCCATAAATACATAATATGGAGCAAGAAAATTGCAGTGTATGTTCTTAAATTTTTAACAGTAAAACGCAAAGCTCAATGTATGATCTTGTCTTTTCAGAACTCTGTGGTAAGAGAAAAAGGCTGAATAGTTCCTTGTTAATATTCCTGTTTATTAGAGAAATGCGATGTTATCGCTTTTAATTAATAATAAAAAGATCCACATCCATCATCTTCTCTACTTGCAAATTATTCAGTATATTCAGTTTGAAAAAAAAAATGATGTTCATCTTATTTTTTTTATTATTGTTGAATAATGTTGTAATCTGTCTGCCAAAAAGTGCAACAGTCAATAAGAAAAAGTATTGTGAAATTCTCAAAATGCTGCAGAAGCTGATCAGCTCAGAATAGCCTGGTAAGTTAGCAGAAGGTATATTTTTCTTGTAGGATAATACATTATCTCATACCTAAAAAATTGCTTGGGTTAAATTTGTCAAACTATGATGGGATATCCTGCTGCATTCTGCCTGCTATCCAGACTTGACTTCTCATGTCTACTACATTTTTTGTCTCTTGAAAAGTTTCAAGAAATGATGGCACTACATGATTTGTAATCAACAAGGTCAAAGAAGTATTCATAAAGAAATTCACTTAGCAACATTCATTCATCATTCTTTAATTAAGCTATTTATTTATTTAGTACTTACATATTGTCATAACCACGTTAGTAGAAATCGCCAAAGCTTTGTAATACAGCAAACTCTGGTTACCATGCATATAACAATTATTCAGGCAACCATATGCATGACAAATATTCAGTTTCTAAAGCTGCCATTTTTGTATGCATTTAAAAAAAATTATGATTATTTTTTGTCTTAAACTTGATATTAAAATTCGTGGGTGTAGGATTTTTTTATAATAGAAGAAAGGCAGATGAAATTTCTGCAGAAGTACATTATTTTGCCATAAAATCCCTACAGGAACAATGCTTTGAATTCTTTCTTAAATGCAAAAGTTATAAAATTTCCACCAAGCAAACAAACAAACAAAAAAAAAAAAAAAAAAAAACCAATTTTCCAAAAACAATTGTCTTTGAAAATAAATATAAATTAAAATTTCATTCCTTGCAGCAATGGTACAAGAGAATTACTTAAATTTAATTTAACTTTACTATATTCTTTTGAAACAAACATGTATGCAATATATAATTTTTTACAATAAAAGTAATTGTTTTTTTTCTTCCTTAAAATGTCCCAAACTGCATCAAGATGGTTGTGATAATATGCAAGTACCATTTATTTATTTCATTGTGTGATTCTTACCTAAATATTTGTGATAAGTAGCTCAAGTTTAAATTATTCAAATAAGTTTATCATTTCTGCTTTAATTTGAATAAGCAAAAACTTTAATGAAGATCAATGACACAACCATCAATGCGTACCAGTTACTAAAAGCTGTTCTTCTTTTAATAGACGTATAACAATAGTTTTCTACTTCCTTGAAATGGTCAGTCAAACTATAAGTCGAGGATTTATTGATGGTTCTTACTCTTATTTGAAAAACCCATGGATGTGTCTTGATTTCATATTAACTCTTTGCAGGTAAAGTATTCAAACATTATTTGAACTAATAAATTATATTTCTCTAAGTCACTTAAGCATTTTGTTATATGGCATTATTAGATATTTTGGGGCCATTTCTGGCCAGAATATTTTCATACTGCTTATAATAAATAGCTTTTATAGTGATTATGCACTGCAAAAATAATTTCCCATAATAATATAATTTTTGCCATTATGAGACCGTTTTTACTCACATTTAGTTGCTTTACTTGCATGAAACATTTTGTTTAACTGTAAGTCACATGTTTAGTTTAAATAAAATAGAAAGTTAAACAAATAAAAAGTTTTAAGAGCTATGGTTTTCTTAAACATTTAGATAAATGGTTGTAGATAAACAGACAGTTTTAATTTATTAATCTTTAATCTGTAGGGAATTAGACTATTAAATTAAACTACTTTCTTTTTGATAATGGGAAGTATCAATGGAAGTAGTAATTTAAAGCTTTGTGTGTGTAAGTAAATTAAGTTTCTAATTAGAGCCTTATTATTTTCCCTGTATTGTTTACTTAGATTTATGTTACTGTTTCAGGAATTGATTAAACTGTAAAAAAATCACTTTAGAGGAGTTAATTTATGTAACATTCCAGCTAATAATATACAGCACAATGTCCGAAATCCGGACTTGTCAGGACTTCGGCGATTCCAGATTTGCAATTTTTCCAGATATTAGGTCATCAATTAAAATCTGGTAAGATGGCATGCAGATATTATACAATTAAAAATATGAAATCGTAATTTATGAAATAAAGAGCAATTATGTTCTAAAGGGTATTAAAATAAAAAATAAAAAAAAGGCTAATATTTATTACTTTACTTTATTAAACATTTCTTTCAATGTAAGTTGTTTAAGTTGCTTCGTTTTCTGTGCTAATACTTTCTCTTTAGTTCTATAAACAAACATAATTTCTTGTTCAGTTACAAAGTTCCACTGTTCAAGTCCTGTAATTGCTGTGTCGAGAATACCAACTAATTTATCAATCGAATTTTTTTTTTTTTTTTTTTTTTTCAATAACCTCTGTGTCACTTTCTTCACTATTGATAGCAGTATTTTCTGGATCTAGAGCCATACTACATATTTTGCCGTCCGTTAATTGACTGGTGATTGGGGCATTATCATCGCAATGAAAAACTTCTGTTGTATCATCTTCATTTACTACTGTTTCTCCACATTTCTTTACAAAATCCATTTAACTGGAAAATTTCACCTTTAGTTTGCGATATGCAAAAGCCTTCAAATTCACAGCTATCATCTTCATCGTCCTCACCATGAAATATAGTACTAACTGGGCATAAATTATGCCAAGCATTTTTTAACGTATCTGGACATTTTAACATCCTTCCACGCTCTTGTGATGCTCCACACAGCAGATTTTATCTTAAAATATTTTTTAAATTCTTGAATAGTAGTCTTACCATTGTTCAAGAAATTTAACATGGATTTTAAAAATGCTACTTTATATTTGCATTTCAGCTCACTATTCCGATGTCTATAGGCTGAATGACAGATGTACAATTTGGAGGGTAGAATAATACGGATACATTATCTTTCAACTAAAACTTTAAGTGAAGTATGAGCCAAACAGTTGTCTACAATCAGAACTATTTTTTAGTCATCAGGTAAACCAACCGAATTCAGATGTTGCCGAGCCTCGGGTATAAAATGATTTTCAAACAAATCATTCATTAACATTTGTGTCATCCATGCTGTTTTATTTGCATGATATATAATGGGGAAAATCGTTACTCCTTTAAATGCTTGAGATTGTGAATGTTTTCTGATTATGAAAAGTTTGCATTGTAGAAAACTTCTCATCCCTTAATGCTTGGTGCTTCCCCAAATTCCAAAAATTTTGTCTTTGCTAAATTCACAGCCGTTCGGTGCCGACATATTCTGCCGCCGCTTCTAGGTTCATGGTGAATAACATATCAGTTATTCTTAATTAAAATAGCACTAAATGTAATCTTTTGGCCCATGAGTTTCAGTAACAAAATATATTTTTAGCATATGAAAAGAAATTTTTGTTGAATTTTTCCTTGTTAACATTTCTTAGAGCATTTAAAATTCTATAATCACCTCCAAACGTAATGTTAGCATAAAAGGTTGCCATACTCTTGTTATTCAATTACTAATATATAAAAAAATGTTTAGACATCACTGCATGAGTTATTACTGAACCTGTCATGTATTGATAAACATGCGGTGATGAAAGCAAAATATAATAAATAATGACTCGCCAGGTTGGCATCAGAGATGTAAAATAGGTGAATGTTTCGGTTTGAGATGTATGCCAAGCAGACAGCTATGGAACCAAATTATTAATCTCATAAATTTATGCTTATATGATTGTTTTTCCATAACGAGGTATTTTATTTAGTGCCTAAATGAAATTAAGAATCGTAATTTTTAAGTGAAAATCTCCACGTTTTATTATGGAAGGAAAAATCAAATGCGCATGCATAAAAACAAAAACATACAAAAAAAAAAAAAAATGTTTGTGGCTTTGAGGTCCGGATTTTAGATCCTTCCAGATAATGGATGTCCAGATTTCGGACTTTGTACTGTAGAATGAAAAGAAATTGGTCTTTGTCATATTTTTGTTTATTACATAATTCCTTCCTTAATTGTGCTTAGATAGTTGAAAACATTTTGTTACTACTTCATAAGGTTATTCTTTTTAAAGTAACTGAAAGGACAAGTTAAAGTACAGATTTGGATCTGTACTTTAACTTGTCCTTTCAGTATTCCTCACCAGAATACAAATGAGGTAGGACTATTTCAGCTGAGTTTTTTGGAGTTTTAAAACAGAACGTATTCCTGGCTTTGCGTGCACACTATGTGATAGTTTCTTGCCAACTGTAATAGTTGTAATCTGTTTGGCTTTGTGTTATATTCGCTGCTGAGAATTTGATTTTGAAGCTCAAGTAGAATTACTGAGTCACCTTTGAGTATTTTTTAAACTATATAGTGTTTGACTATTATTATAAGTTTATTACAATTATTATTATGATAATTATCTAGTCATCCTTAAATATTTAATGCATTCATTTTTTTTTCAGTTTATTCATGTATTTATGTTATATTGATACATAATCTAAAAATCCCATTATTACATTGTTATCAACTTTGGACAGGACTTAATTTCTAAAATTAGAAGTGTCGGAGCCCTATGGAAGACCGTTAGCAAAGAGGAAGAGTAAATAAATAAATAAAATGTCTATTTAACTCATTAATAATTTTTTAATTAAATAGTTAATTATTATAAAATTAATTAATAGCTAATTAATTAATGTTTATAAATTATTATTTAATCAATAATTAATTGTAATTTAATTGATAATTATTAGAAAATTACTGTTTAATTGTAATTTGAATGATAATTATTAGATAATTACTTAATTGTAATTTAAATGATAATTATTAGATAATTACTTAATTGTAATTAATTGATAATCATTAGATAATTAATTATTATTTATTGAAATAATTAAAGATTGAAGGAATTAATAATTAAATTAATAAAATGTAAAGAGATAAATTGAAATTTAATAAGCGATTTTTAATATAATTTTATTGTTAAAATAAAATTTTCGAGATAAAATTTCTAGAGAAATTGCTATTCAGTTACATAAAAGAAGTGCTGCAGTCTTCTTATTCAGGGCTCCGGTGTGTTCTGGCTAGAATTATGATTTATTACAAAAATTAAGAAGCACCGGAGCCGATATCCGGCGGGCTCTGACCCGATTTAAGCTCTTATCGTTGGGGGGTGGGGAGTTCTTTTATCATCACAAAAATTAAATATACTTAAAGTATAGCTGATGAAAATTCTAGGGCGAAACAGAATGAGGGTATGAGTGGGTGGAAACAAAAAATGAGGGGAATCTTGGTGAGAGAGAACGTTCTCTTTGACTGCGACTCTCTGCTGATATAATTATAGCCATCAAGCAGATGTGCGTCGGGTAAAAGGAGTCCTGAATCTGACTCCTAAGGATGAATGTAAAGTTGCTGGTTATGCTTTCTCCCCCCCCATGAGTGGATACTGTGGGAAGACGATGTATAAGACATGCTTAAGTAGTTTATCTCAGTATTTCACTCTTACTGTACTCGCTGTCACTTAACGCATATTTCAGAACACAAATTTTCATTCCTGCGAGGATAAGTAACTGTAAGCATTAATAACAATACACTAGATGCGATGGCATGGCGAGAAATTTATGTGTTCCTAAACAAACTCTCCCAAATTTATTGCCCTTCTTAAAGGGAAAGGTTTTTGGTTTTCGCATTGTGAGTGAGGGGACTTTAATTTGAACATCTCATGTTCTCATGAGTTCGTATTTCTGTCGGAAATAGAGTATTGCAAAGTCTGCTTATTGTTAAACTAAAACGTTAGGAATTCTAATTTTTTTTTTTTTTTTTTCCTTTAGATTGTGGTTCAGTTTTATAAAAAGAAGTACCCGAGCTCATCTTATTTAGGGCTTCATTGCACTTCGGCTAAAATTGTAATTTACCTTAAAAATAGAGAAGTACCGGAGCCGGGCTCCGGCGCAATTTAAGCACTGACTTTGGATGTCTTTTCATAATTTTAAAACTTTGTAGTAAATAATTTTGAACTGTTTCAAATTATTAATTATGATCAAATAATTATTCCTAACTGTCTATTTTTTCATAACATTAAAGAAAACATCTGTAAATGCTATGTTATTAATCTATTTCTTTTTTCCCTCCTATCCATTTTTGCAGTTTGCCAGATTTGGAAATGAACTTAAATAAAACATTTGGAGTTCAAGCACTTCGGGGTATTAGAGCATTGCAATTGATCAGTAGATTTCCAGGTAAACGTATACATATTGCCATTATGTACCTTTTTTATGCTATCATGGCTAAAGAAATTATTTAGACTATTTGGAAATATCTAAAAGTATGTTTAATTTAACAGTAATAATTTTGCTAACCTGGTATTTTTTCTCCCTTTGAAAGCTTAACTATTGAGTACTTTTCAATAATTGCTGATAATTGATACATTTCTTCAGATGATTCATAACTTGTTGATAATATACACAACCAAAAAAGATTCTGTTCTCCAGAGCCTTGTTTTCCTAAAAATGAAGGCTTCTTTGAATAGAAGAACCTATAAGGAATGAGACAGTATCATCAAGGTAGTCCAAGAATAGCTATCTATGTGTGGAAAGATTATTTTTGCAAGTGTAACCATTATCTAAAGAAAATTGAGATTAGTTTTGTAAAGTGTTGAATGGTAATAAAAAAAATTAATTAGGTTTCTATATTAGGTTTGAGAAACTCTTAAAGGTACTGTTAGATCTTCTGAATGTTATTAGTTATTCAAACAAATGTTGAATTAAATCTAAAATTAAGAAAAATCTAGCATCAGAAAAATTTTATTTGCTATCTCATTGCTTCATTAGTTATTTCAATATTTTCCTTTAAGGTGTTCAAACAATGGCAGAAGGTATTTTGTTATCAATAAAGCGAATGCTTGGAGCAGCTCTGATAATGTTTCTTTTTCTCATTGCTATCACACTCACTGCAAAGCAAGTAAGCATAGTTTGAAACATTTTAAATTCATGTTTTTATGTTTAAAAGATATTTAAAAAGTAGTTTTTATGAATTTAAAGTGCACTGTGTTTTTATTTCAAATGTAGAATTCAAATACATACAATATTAACATACATGAATACTTCACTGATATTGTTATAATATTTAAGAGCATTATGTATTGTAAGATATTGTTGTACTCATATCACATTACATACTGACTGTCTTTTATTGCCAAATCCAAATATTATACATATGTAATATAGTGACAATTAACAGCAACTATAATATATATCATTTCTCTCAAGTAGGATGCAAAATGTTTTTTATAATATAAAATCCTTTAATTGAGATAATTAATTGCCTTGCAGCTCTTCCACCACTTTTCATATAAATAGTGACTTTGATACTTGTATCCTGTTTTATGTTTTGACTGATATATCTTGAATTGCCATATTACTTCTTTTTAATGGTTTTATGCTTGCTGACTACAATTTAAATGAAATGAGTTGCTTCTGTTTATTGGATATAACAAATCTTTAGCATAATACTTAAAAAAAATAATCCAGTTAATATAAGTTGAATCTTTACATTTTCTAAGAATGTGAATCCTTCTTAGTGTATTTCCTGTCTTTGTGAAGTTATGATGTAGAAATGTTATGCTTTTTTACAGTTTGAACTGATTTCCAATAATTATTCAGAGAGTATATTTGTTCCTCCAAGGAAATCTGCTTTTCCTTTTTTTTTTTTAGCCTACCTATCATACTAAAATGTAACCATATCCTTCTTAACATCCAACTGTTAGTTAAATTTTTTATTACTTTTGGTTTTTCAAACTGACTTAATAACAGCTTATTGTGTTCAATGGCACTTGTTCTTGATGACCTGCATAGGGAAAACATTCATTCATTAAGGTTTATATTGTGTTTTAAAAGTTATTTTCAGATTTGATCTCTCTCAATTCCTGATTTGTAAAGAATATTTTTAATTATGCTAATCATTTTCTCCTCAAATCCATTTGATTTCGGATAACTAGGACTACTGTGCAAAATTTGAAAACCCTGCTTTTTTGCAAACTGACTCACTTTTGTTCTGGCAAAAGGCAAATAATTACTTCAAGTGTACCATAAGTAGAAAAATTAGCTTTAAGTTTTTATATTATTTTTTCAGAAATTTTATTCAAAACCTTTATATGTAGCTATTTTAATAAGTAACATCCATTATTAGCAATTTTTATCCATACCATTTTTTTCATAAGCAAGTTTTGAAACTCTTGTTTAATTAAAAGTTCACTAAAAGTTGTATTAAAAATGCTAAGTCTATATTTCAAGTCTATACTTAAATACCTATTTTTATATTTAGTTTCATTATGATTGCTAATCTAATTTATTGATCAAAACTTCATCTACCTTGCTATGACCTTAGTTTTCTCCATTCCACAGTGAACATTTTGAAGTAACTTTAGTATTTCTACCATTAAACTGATAAGTTTTATCACTGTGTGATTTAAAAATGTTAAACTTGCCTTAATAGGTTTAATACTTTAGTAATACTTAGAAATTTAAAATATTTTTTAACTTTGACTGTTACTTTTTCTTGTTTGAAGTCATCAAAATTTAAAAATCACAAGAAAGACTTCCATCATTCGCTGTTACTTCCTTAAATTCCTTTGCCTAGTTGTACTAATGTGTAGATGTTTGTTTAGGTTATGTATAAATTACTGCTTTTATTATTCAGTTCTGTAGGGAAAAAAACTATATTTAAAATCAAGAAGAGCAAAGATTATTGCATAATTTAGAAGCTAAGTTCCTCAGCTGTGGGTTTAAAGCATGATCTTTCTTTTATCCTCTCTTGAGATCTTCTGGATTGAAGAAGAATTTACAACATCCAATTTCTTTTCCAACACTGAAAAGTTATTAATCGGAGTATTTTTAGTAACAAACTTCTGGGATTCTGTTTTAATTTTTTCTGAAATTTAGGATGAAAATTGTTTTTAAATTTAGGATGAAAATTGGTTCTGATGTTTAGGAGTAGATGACAGTGGTGAGCAATTTTCTATTATTATTGCACTTACCTTCAAATTTTCCTACATTTTGGAAGATTTTCTTATTATTTTACAGAAATCCCTTTTGTTCGGTTTTAATTATTCCAATTTTATTAATATATTTAGCAAGATTGAATTTCATGTATTTAATAAAATTTAATTAGCTTGATTTTTAATAAAGATTAAATTTTTTGTTAGGAGCTGCTACAAAATGTCTGTTGTAGTTTATTTATCATGAACATTACAATTTAAATTACAATACTAAAAGACCTATTTAAACTACCATAGAGTTCTTATGCTATTTTTCCCCCCAAATTTCAAATCTTTATCTGTTGCTTAACTAGCAGGTAAAGGTAAAACATTGGTCTGAGTAGAAGTTTTTGATTGAACCTTTAAATTCAGAAATTTCAGTCATTTGTCATAAGCATTTTACCAGCTTTATAAATCTATTTAATTTTTCTTTATGTTGTTGTTATTGTTGTGACTTATCTCACTTGACTGAGAGTAACATTAGAACAAGGCCGTGAAATTCGACGTAGCAAAGAACGCAAGATTGCACCTATCATGAGCAATAGACTTGAGCATCATACAGGTGATAGTACGACTTTGCTCAGTCTTGTCCCCAATTTTGAAGGAAAGCACCTTGGTGGAAAAAATCCAAGAGTCTCCCACCCCTCTTCCCCTACCACCAACCTCTTGAAAGGACTATTGGTTCGCCACATATTCAGAGTGCCCCATGCCACACATGCATTATACATTTACAAACATCCATGCTTTCTCTGAGATTCGAACTCGGGCCCTTCGGTACGGCAGTCAGTGACACTACTATCCTGGTTGGGTGATATTTCTGTTTAATGATTACTTTATGACACTTTCTGTACTTCACACAGTTTCAGTCTGAAGAGAAATAATTTAAATTACCTTATTTGTAATATTTGTAACTAACTTTCCTTCATAAGCTAGAGGTTAATTTTTGTCAGGATGTCAACATTTTGTATTGCATAGCTTGGACTTGAATTTTGTGCAGTTACTTTGCATTTTTCTAAATTTTTAATAGGGACTTCCTTCTTATATAAAAATTTTCCACAGTCTTTTATTGGTGATACCCATTAAAATCCAGTCTCTTATAATACTCTTAATTTGTGGGATTTTACCACTTTCCCTGAGTCAGTGTAAGACGAAGTAAGACTGAATTATTATTGCACATACCTGTTAAAAATAAATCTTTCTATTATAATATTTCTTTTGGTTGTTTGTAAGATTCAGAAGCTACTAAAATATATCATTGTTATGCAGTAACTACGTAAACTGAATTCATCATAATAGCAATATTAATATTTGAGCTTTTATTGTTGTTCCAGAAGCTTTCACGTAGCAAAAAACTGTTTGGATTCATACCAGTATTTTTTGTCTATGAAGGTTTTTGAAAAATCTAAACATGAGGTAGAAAGAGCCTAGAGAACTTTTGCTGATTAAACCTTTGCAAATAAAAAAAGGTCTGATGTGGATGCCACATGACTTCCTTGTGTGGCCTTTTAAATTATGCACAATTTTTGCTGCATTTCATTTAAACTTTTTTTCCTCAAATTTCATTAGAGATATATTTTTCTTTCATTGAATTCAGTTCTCACTTTGCGGCAAAACAAAAACGCATAAAAACTCAAAACATCTTCATTAAAAATTGTAAAATACAGAAAAACATGAAACACCAAATACACTTAAAGCAATTGAAAAAATTACAATTAAAATTAGAGTTTCTACTCAAAAACTAGCAATTTGACCAGTGGCAAGAAAGCAGATTTTTCAATGCACAAAACTCAGTTTACTTTTTGTCCCACTTGGCAAAAAGACATTGAAGGGGCATAAACTGAATTCGTTATTCCACCGAGTTTGAAATCTAAATAAACAGCAGTTCATTAGGCTTAACTGCCACTTTTAAATCGTTGATAATTCTACAACTATTGCATGCAGATTAACTAAAGGGATAAAAACCACATAATTCAATTACTTATAAAGCAAAAAATGCACAATTTAACAACAGATAAGAATAAAAAACTAAGCTCACCAAGCCAGGTAACAGAGTTGGAATATATATATGTGAATATATATATATATATATATGTTTATATACGACTGGTACAACCGATTGCAACGAAAAAGGGAGGTGCACAACTACATGTTATAGCAGTCCCATATAAAAAATTTCAACATTCAGTGGCTATTCGTTCTTGAATTATGTGAGATACATGCATACAAATGTTAAGGGGGAAAAACTCTTCTGAATCCATTTTAAATCCATTTTACAATCCTTTTTATCAAAAACAGTCCTTTTTTCTGTCTATATGTACTTATGTCATGTAAAAACATCATTCAAATGGTTTTGAGAGTGGTTGAAATGGATATTTTCATTGAAATATGAGACACAAAAATTTTGTGATTACAATCCTTCCTTTACTTTGTACAAGGAAGTACAAAAAGCTCTAATTAATGCAATTGTATCCACGGTTCTCCATGTGTATGTGGCTGCTGCTATAACTTGTTCACTGCTAGAAGTTTGAAAGTAACTATGCCATTCTTATTTTCACTTTAAGCATCTTATTAAAACTCTAGTCATTATTATCATGCATATTCATTTCATTTACATTACTTTAACATTATTATGCAATTTAAAGCATTAAACACTCAGCCATGTATTAACAACAATGCCATGTTGCCAGGTTCAAACTTTGCATGTATATAACAAAGAATATAGCAGTCTAATGTTGAAAGTAGTGGAAAAAATATTTTAATTTATAAAATTTAATTAATTTGAATGGTTAAAATGTATCCATGAGCTATTTTTAATTATAGATAAAAAATTTTTAAAAGCTGCTAAAAAGCTAAAATAATTATGAAGACAATTTTTTTTTTTTTTTTTTTTTTTTTTTTTAGTATTTTAAAAATAAAAACTCTTGTATTTTTTTTTTTTTTTTTTTTCTTTTTCTTTTTTAAGTATTTTAAAAATAAAACTCTTGTAATTTTTATTTTGTAAGATACTACATTTAGCTTTATATAAAGTATTTCATAGATGATTTCTAAAAAATTCTGGGGTATTTTTTTTAGCATTTGTAATTTGTTCAATGTTCACCCAGATGTTCATGGGAGTTCTGTTACATAAATGCGTAAAAAATCTGCCTGGTGATTTTAGCAATTGGAATATTTCGTATTTTGACTTTATCAATGATCCTAGAAATTGGATAACTGATGGTCATGGTCATGCATTAATATGTGGTAATACGACTGGAGCTCAGTAAGTGTAATTTTTGTTCCGTTATAAAGTTCATGTTAAAAAAATTTTTTGAAAATTTTTATAATTATACTAATTGGATAATGATTTCAATTAATCATTTTTTTTTTCCAAATCAAGCTACGTATGAAATATCTGTTCATATGTAGCCTGATTAGAAATAAGTGCTATTAAATGCTAATTGCACAAAAATTCTCCTTTTTTAACATTAACTACCTCTCAACTCAGTAAATAAAATAACACTGATGATAAACTTCAAAATATTTGTCAAAAAATTGCTTATTGAACCAAAAATTATGATTATTCCTTTAATCTTTCCCCCCTGGATCTAATAGTAATAAAGTCATAAAATTAACTAAGCAACAGTCCTGCTTTTCGTGCAGATTTTAGTCAAGACTGTATCAATTTCGAGGAGAAACAGGTATAATCCCTCTTCATCAGGAGCAAAGAAATTTACAGTGAAGGGGAAAACAATAAATAAATACAACCGTGGCTTTCTCTTTATGCTGGGGTAAATCTTTATGCTAGGGTGCACAAATAAGTTTTGTGTTTTTGGTAACTTTAAAGCTATATTCAGAGAAACTGGAAGAATGTATTTTATTCATTGTATTGTCCCTCGTTAGCTAAGACTTCTCCCATCTTTCAGATAGCGTACATATTTTGCATTTAAAAAATTCCTCGCCTTTTGAGGCGGTTCAAGAACCGACCCAATTTTTGGCTTCTTTGTATGAAGTAAAGTGCTGCTCGGACAAGTCATGACTCATCGACCAGAACAAGTGAAAGTCGGAAGAAGCAATGTCTGATGAATGTGGCTGGTGAGGTAGGACATCCCATTGAAGTGCCTCCAAAGTTTCCTTGACAACTTTTGCAGCATGTGGGCGAGCATTGTCTTACTGAAAGATCACTTTCTCATGTCTTTGGGGAGTGTTTGAGCATCAATGCTTGGCTCAATTGCAACAACTGTTGTTTGTAACGGTCCCCAATGATGGTTTCGCAAGGCTGGAGTAGCTCATAATAGATCTCTCCAAGCTGATCCTACCAGCAGGCGAGTGCTAAAGTTGCTGAACACTAGTAGTTTGTTCCGAGGTTCGAATCCTGCGAATGGGCTGGTTGCATGGGAGTTTTCGTGGTTTTCCCCATGTGTAACGTGTATATGAGCCAGTTTGCCTTAGAAAGTCCTCCACGAACACATCCCTCCTCTTAGGCAGATAGCTCTCAAGGCTTTGCCATAATCACACACATCAGATGCACAATATTAGCTTCTTGCCATTCAATATTCGATTTGGCCATTGAAATTTGATGCATGGCCAGGCTTACCCCACGATTTTGTGCACTTTGGATTGTCATAGTAGATCCATTTTTCAGCCCCAGTCACAATTTGATGCAAAAACCCCTTCCGATTTTGCCTTTGGAGCAGTAGTTCATACATGAAAAAACGGCGTTCAACGGCTCTTGGCCTTGAGTTCATATGGAACCCAATTTTCTTGTTTTTGCCATACGCAGAGCCTTGAGATGCTTTAAAATCCCTTGTTGAGTCACTCCCAAATTTTTTCGCAAGCTGCTCTTGAGTTTGGTTTGAATCTTTGTTCAATAACCCCTCCAACTCAAGGTCTTCAAACTTTACTAGTCACATGTTTTTATTGTTGGAGCATGTTCCCCATATGCTTCACACAGCAATCAATGTCCATCAGCTGTACTTTTCTTCAAATTAAAACAAAAAAAAAATTTTTCAATTTATCCTCTTGTAGATGTGACAAAAGCTGTAATTTGAGCATATCTGTGTACATTCCTCCCATCACAGTGGCTTCAGAAAAAAGAAATGGACCATAGATAGTTTTATGGGATATTGCACAAAACACATTAACCTTAGGGGAATCACGTTGGTATTGTACTGTCGCATGTGGTTGTTCGATACCCCCAAATTCTCACGTTGTGCTTATTTACTAATCCAGAAATGTGAAAAGTTGATTCATCACTGAATACTAACTTTTTTTTTAAATCCATCATCCTCCATGCACATCAGAAGTGTCTCACAGAAAGATAATCAACGTGGTAGATCTTCAGGTTTCAGATATTGCACCAACTGCAAATGATACAGTTTCATTTGAAAATGCCTTCTAAGAACTCTTACACAGTTTTCTGGTCTATTCCCAGTTCTTGTCCTGCTTGATATGTCAATTTTTGAGGGCTTCTCACAAAGCTGGTTTCAATATGCTCAACTATGTCTTCTCCTACTGAAGAATGACCAGTTGATTTTGCTTTACAAATGCAGCCTGTCTCTTGAAATTTTGCTGCTAACAACAGATTGCCTTATCATCTGGCACTGTCTGCCATTATTTTGTTTGCAACAGGTGCTAAACAGTGACAATAGACTTACTAATATGAAACTCAAGCACACAAAATGCTTTTTTACTGTTGTATTACTATTTTATGAAGCCATTGTTTTTCTACCCGTTTTGTTTTTGCAGAAATGCTGATGACTATTGGACAGAGCCATCTATTGGCAACTATTCACTTGGCAACTTGCTTACACTATTTCTGCATGTATGTACATTTTTAATGACTACATTTATTACATTTTGCACAATTTACTACATTTATTCTTTGAACAATTTAGATGAAAACCTAGATGAACAACCTATTATGAAAGTAGGTAAAGGTAACACTAAAAATCTTTATTCTCATAAAAAGTGCAATCACAAATTTTTAACAGAGTGGTGTTCACTCATTATAAATTTAGAAATGGTTGTATAATATTTACAATGTTCTTTATGAAAAGCATGTAATATAGGCAAGGCAATTATAAATTTGTTTTTGTTCAAAATAGTTAATATGTATGATACCTTGCTTATTTTAAATTTGATAAAAAGTGTTTATAAAACCTTTTGGTGAGCTGGATAGAGAGTGTTCATGGGCCATAATTTAAAGATCCTTGCTTTAAAGGGACCACATCTACTGAAGAGCAAAAGCATCCTTAATCATGAGTAATTCTCTTAAGAAGGTTTCACTGTGTTTAGACAGAATCAGTTCTGTGCAGCCTCTTTCATTTGCTTCATTTTGATAGGAATATTTCTGTGTAGTCTCTTTCATTTATTTTATTTTGATAGGAATGGGTTAAAATTTTGCTTACTGGACATGAACAGAAAGTTTCTTGCAAGCATTGAAGGAGGCACAATAGATTCCTTGAATGGAGGGATGGCTTTAAAGATTTTTAATAGACATTTTAACTTCTCTTTTTTAAAATTTTAACAGTACCACACTACATACATACATGTTTGCATGTATGTCCTTTGTCAGAAAGTTCCAGGACAATTTTTTTTTTTAAATTTCTGAGTTTGCAGTACTAAAGAGGAACAAATATTCTTTTTATATTATCTGATATGTACTCTTATTTGACATGACCTTGGTCATGTTTCCACGCAAATGTACTAGGTGGTAGGGCTGTGCTTAGCAACACACTGTTCTGATTGTTGTCGTATTCATTAAGGTGACATAATAGATGCTGATTTTAAGCAAAGAGTGAACATTAAATTCTGCGTTAATCTCTGGAAAACTCCCTAGTGAAACAGCAAAAATGATTAAGCAAGCATATGCAGGTGAGGAACTTTCAAGAAGTCATGCACAAAAGGTTTTCTGAAGGCAGAGATTCAGTGAAAGATGATCCCAGAGCTGGTCGCCTATCTATAGCACATACCGATGCAAATGTGGAATGTGTAAGGCAATTATTGCAAGAAGACCTTCATATAACTGTGTGTATGATATCAGACGAATTGAATTTGAATCGTGATGTGTGTCATAAGATTTTACGTGAAGATTTAGGGAAATGAAAACTTAATGCAAGACTTGTCCCTCACTTACTAACAGATGAACAAAAAAGAGGAAAAACGTAGAATTTCTGCTAAACCATTGGATAGAGCCAGGCATGATCTCACTTTTGTGTCAAAGATTATTGTGATTTTTTCTTGTTTATGTGAGTGAAAAGGTGACTGAAGGGAGAGCTTCATCAAGATCACTGCAGACATCCAATGGGCTGTGACAAATGAGCTTGCAAGCATTGCAGTTGAAGATTTCTCTGCTTGCTTCCAAGACTTCCAGAAACGTTGGCAGTTGTGTATAGTTAACAAAAGGAGACTATTTTGATTGCAGCTAGGATTGTTACTTTGTAAATACAATTTTCTATTTTTTACGACTTTTGTTCTGGAACTTTTCTGGCAAAGAATGTATGTATGTATGCACACCACTTTAGAGTCCACCATAAATGAATATATAGTTCAGCAGATCTTAACTATGGATTTTTCTGGAAGTTGGATTGAAGCATATGGGCAACACTTCTCATGGCTAATGTTTCTCAAGCAAGAATTCACTATTGTAGTAAGTATTTAGAGCCACTAATGGCTATCACTTTCAGCATCTTCTATAATTGCAGAAGTTATATGTTATCCTTAATTCATATTGTGATGTATGAATAAATTTAATATTAATATATATCACAGAGTTTTATCTATTAAAGTGTGTATATATTCTATGGACATCTCAATATATATATTACACAAAAACTTACAGGTTTCATCCGAATATGTAGATGAATAATGAAAAAATTCTGGAAGTTTTTCATTGCTTGTGTTACATTCATTATATATGTTGTTATGTATGCTTTTACAATGATTTCGACATTTTTACTTGTGCATTTATTTAAAAAATTATAAATATAATGTAAATTAATTAATTTTTTACAATTCTTTTTAATTTTTAATTCTATCTTAAAATATTCTTTATTGCAGAATGTGTTATGATGGCTATACATGCCTCCCAGACATTGGATCAAATCCAAATTTTAACTACACCAGCTTTGATACTTTTAGTTTGTCTTTGCTAAATAGTTTCCGCTTGGTATCACAAGATGAATGGGATGATGTATATCGTAAGGTTTGTAAGATTATTGTATGATAATTAAATTCTTGAGATCCAAAGATTCATTTATATATATGTATATAATTTTAAGTAATTAACATGCCTAAAACTTGCACTAAAGCTGCTAAATGATAAATCAATAATTTATTATTTTATATATCATGTCCAAGAAAGTATATAATATATATATTTTTATAATTTATGTTTCCAAATCGGATGATGGTGGTTCAGTAGTTTACTCATTTTAACATTTTTAACATTATTTTAATTCACTATGTTCAAGAGCGTTTCTTAGGCCGCCGCCTTCAATATAAACAAACTTTATTCTCTTCCAACAATGCAAGCATCAGCACCCTCTAGCCTTTTTTCCTTTCAAATTATTCAACACTCCCCACCTGAACTCGGAGAGTTCATCTTTTAATAATATATTCTAGAATATTCAATTAATATTTTGACAATCAATCCTAGAGAAATGATTAAGTATAACAAGCATACATACATAATTATAAGCACATAAATTTTACAAAACATTAAATGATACCTATCAGCGAAGTCAGAAGAATCAAACCTAAAAATACAAAATACAAACAAAAACAAGGTTCCATATAATATAACAAGTGTATTGGCCTTTTTAAGGTACAAGTAGATGTTTTAATTATGCAAGATCTTATTTCACCATCTCTGCCTGGCATTAATTCCAAAATTCTACCTATCGTCCAGAGACTTTTGGGATGTTTATCGTCATGAATCAAGACAATATCGTTGATTTTAAACTGAGATGTGTTTGAATGTGGAGGACAAATATTGGCAGGTCTCAGATTAAAAAGATACTCCATTTTCCAATGCTTCCAAAAATGATTTAAAATATCTTGATAGTATTTATATCATTTAATAATTGAATTTCTTGATCCAATCAAATTCTTTGATGTTATTTTACTAGCAGGCAGAGATAGTAATCATCTGCCAACCAGGAAATGAGAGGACATTAGTCGAGAAAGCTCATTGGAATCGCTAATAATGTAGGTAAAATATCTACAATTAATCATGGCCTCGATTTCAATGAGCACTGTTTCAAGCTCTTTCACAATAAGAGATGATTGACCAATAATTTTGCGTAAACTCGATTTTATGGTTCGTACCATACGCTCCCAAAACCCTCCCCACCATGGACCCCTTTCAATAATAAATTTCCAAATTTATGCTTTCTAGCAGAAAATAATTCTTCTGGAAGCAGAATTTGGAAATCACTCAAAGTTTTGAAAATATGTTTTAGTTCTTTATCAGCTATTTTAAAAGTCTTGCCATTATCAAAGTACAATGGTGGTACACAGTCCTCGGCGAGCTAAAAATCTTCGGAAAGCTAGTAAAAAACTTTCAGTTCTGAGATCAGTTACTATCTCTATATGTAAGGCATGAGTGACTGCACACATTAGCAACAGCATGTAAACTTTACCTTGCCTGTCTCTCGTAAAAAAATGGACCGGCGAAGGTCCAATTCCCGGTTACAGCAAATGGAGGCGACTCTTGGATTCTGTCTGGCGGAAGTGGAAGCGATATCCTGTACCCCAGGACGAGCACTATATCGTCTGCATATCACACATTTGTTGATGATAGTCTTAACACGCTGTCCTTCCCTTTAATGATCCAATATTTGTCTCTGATCTTGAGTTAGGTGTCGAATTAACTCCAGCATTTGAAATGCGAGTCAATGATGATCAATGCGGTAAACTTGCAATTTGGAGGGGTAATAGAATAGGATGTTTTATGTTTTCATGACAGTCTGCAAATTGAATGCAACCTTTTAACCGAAGAATTCCCTCCTTATCAAGCCTTGGATTAAGGGAGTAGATAAAAGAATCGAGAATTGATTTTTTATTTGATAACTTAATTATTTCCACTTGATATGATTCTTATTGCATAATTTTTATCCCATAACGTTCAGCTGCTTCAATTTCAAAAGCACTTAAAGGTCCATTCTCTGTAGACCTTTTCAGAAGTCTCCCAATAAATCTTAATACATAGGCTGTAATTCAAAGCAATTTTCCTGAAGAACTGAATTTTCCTATATCCATAATTGAGGATTCATTGTCAATTACAGGTGAAGTCAAAATAATACTTTTTCTTAACTCTAACGATTCTGAATTTGGTTGTAATTTCTTTTGTTTCAGAAAGTTTTCAGTAGGAAAACGTAACCAGCGTGGCTCATGCCACCACAGATCATTCTTAACTGGTCAATGAGCACTAATTCCTCGAGTCAGTAAATCTGAAGAATTTTGTTTTCCATCGCAGTGGTTTCACAATTTTTTGTTGCATATACCCTATATTTCCGTAACACGATTGGCGATAAATAGTTTCCAATTATTTGGCGAACCTTTAATCCAAGTAATGGTGATTTTGGAATCGTTCCAAAAATAAACATCCTTAATTAAATCGCCACACAAGCTTTTTAAATATTTATACATTCGAGCAGCAACGAGTGCTCCCATTAACTCTAAATGAGGAAGCGTGATGGATCTTAAAGATACAACCCTGCATTTCCACATGATAAAGGAAGTTTTAATTTCTGAATCACTCGTACAGTATTCTGAAATATGCGATGAGCCCATATACTTTAAGACTAGCGTCCGAAAATAGGTGAAGGCTTATATTCATTGGATCATCATCAAAGAAATTTCTCTGTATCAATATTTCAGATAAATCACTAAGTTCATCCTGCCAAATGTTGAAGTTGTCCTTAATCTCCGCAGGAAAGACCTCATCCCAGTCAGCACCGGAACACCAGATTTCTTGCATAATAATTTTTGCCTGAATAACAAAGGGCCCAATAAATCCAAATGAATCATATATTTGGGCGATACTTTGCAAAAGTTCCCTTTTTTTTAGCAAAATCGTTTTCAGTAAAAAAGTCAATTAAATTTTTTAAATTTAACTTTATATTGTCCCCAATGGAATTCCAAATCATGCCTAAAAATTTCGATTCACTAGTTAATTTGTTATCTGATTCCTTAATCCCATTTAAGATGCATAAATGATTTAATGCTTTAGAATTAGTTCTTAATTTTCTGAAATTTATCCCAGCATCCTTAAATATGTTAACCGTATCTAGAGATAACGATATGCATCTTCAACCGTTCCTGCTCCAAAATATAGGTCATCGACATAGACAGAAGAATTTAACATTTCAAAACTGTCCGGCATTTTATCGTTATACAGTCAAAAGTCGTTAATCCGGACTCGTCGGGACTTCGGCGATTTCAGATTATAGATCGTCAGTTTAAATCTGGTAAGATGGCATGCAAAAATTACAAAATTAAAAATATGAAACCGTAATTTATGAAATAAAGAACAATTATGATCTAAAGGGTATCAAAATTTAGAAAAAGAAAAAGCTTAATATTTATTTGTTTACTTTATTAAACATTTCCTTCAATGTAAGTTGCTTCGTTTCATGTGATAATACTTTCTCTTTAATTCTATTAAACAGACATAATTTCTTGTTTAGTTACAAAGTTCCGCTGTTCAAGTCCTATAATTGCTGTTTCGAGAATACCGACTAATTTGTCAATCGAAATGTTTTCGTTTTCAATAACCTCTCTGTCACTTTTCTTCACTATCGAAAGTGAATTATAATGACGAGGAACTTGATTTAAATCATATCAAAGACGGAGTACATCGAGATGAAATACTACATTTAGTAAGGAATTGTAAGCCAAATAAAATAAAAACATCTGCCCTGAAGATAAGGATAGTGCTGACAGATCAACTTCCAATTCATTGCGCGCCGCAACGTTTCTCCCCCCCCCTCCCGCAGAGCAGCGTAAAATTGATAAACAGATTTCGGATTTCAAAACGTACTTTCGCTTTGTAGATCCTTTACATATTAGTAAATATATATCAGAAATTCTATTTGACATAATCGAAAGTTCAAGCTTACTTTTATAAAATTGCTCTAACAGTCTGCAAAAAATAATATGCCAGATCCAATTCGAAGATTAAGGAACAACGCAATCTGCAACATTAACTGAATTAGATAATTTTTAGCTTAGATTATACCGTCCGTTATACATTAAACGCGCATACGTAAACATATTATGCGCTTGCGCACACGCATATTCTCAGCCATAAAGGTCTTACGCGCACGCGTAAACACCTATGCGTCAGTGCGACGCATGCGCAGAAAGTTTGTAGCTTTGAGGTCCGGATTATAGATCATTCCAGATTATGGGTGTCCGAATTAACGACTTTTGACTGTATTTCTGAATGTCATATTTTATAGTGGCATCCAAAGTGAAAGGAGATATAGTCAAACCGAAAGCTATGTGACACATTTGCATAATCTTAAAAGAGTGATTATTTTCATTAAAACAAACAAATTTTAGAAATTGCCTATCACCTTCTTCAATTCCTATCATCAAAAAGGCTTTTTAACGTCTCCACAAAACGCTATCTTAAACTTAAATAAAGTTAAAAAAGTTTAACATAATGTCTAATACATTTGGATTTAGATTAGGTCCCGATTCAAGGCAGTCATTTAAAGAATTCGTGTCCTCGTCCTCGAGCTAGCATCGTCACACATCTTACCTTAGGGGTTTCACTAGGTGGTATCACTGCTCGGTGTGGCGTAAAATATCCCAAATTTGTATCATTATTCGGACATTCCTCCACAATTTCTTCTAATATCTGTTTCTCAATTATATTTTTATATTCCTGAAAAATCTCTGGAGTTTCACTTAGAAGTAAGCTTGAACTTTCGATTATTGGGAAGGTTTGCGAATCATTTCTTAGCTACCTTAAAATTATTTCCCAGACTATTCGGACTGTATTTCCAGTGCAAATTTACCTCATATCTACCGTTTTTAAACTGCAAATTTCTTTCAGACTGGTCTGTTATTTCTCAGTCAGTGTCGGAATAATCATTAGAATCATTAATTCCCAAAAACCTCTTAAATCTTTCAACACAAGTATTTTGTTTGTTTTAGCGGTTTGTCATTACTGCTAAATTTTCAGAACAAATT